TGCCTTCGCCCCCGAAGTAAAAGTAATCCAGGGACACTGTAGGCAATCCTCTGTCGTCTCGACTTGGGGTCGCCTTGTGCTGCTCGTGCAGCCCTCTGTCGATCTCCTCTGCAGTGGGAGATGTTGGACTCCTCAACACTTTTGGAGCCCTTGCTTCTTCTTCCATGGGGGCCGACCGATCCATCGGATCGATTCGCCCCTCAGGGTGCTCCTGCGGGTCCGGCCGGTCCAAAGGACCGACTCCCCCCATCGGAGTCTTCGGACTTACGGTTTCACCTGCCGCTGGAAACCCGCCTCCACTGCGGCGAGCTCCTCCATGGTCTCATGTCCTTCGGTCTTTCGCTCTGCCTTGCACCAAAGGTCAAAGCAGAAGATGCCCTTGTGCACGTACAGCTTCGTGGCGTTCCGGTTGTCTTTCGGGAACTTGCGCTTCAAACTCCTCAGCGCCCTTCGAATTCCTCGTGCGATGGGTCCATCCTTTGGAACGATGTCACCTTGCTCTCCGTCCATGACAACCAAGTTGCGGGCTGTCACCTTGCTTCCTGAGACGAGCAACCTGTGGACGTTCACAAATCGACCGTCCACTTTCCTTCCATAGCCTTCTTCAGTGAGGCCACGGATCGTTCCACCGCCTTCGTCCATGATGAGCTCGCCCGAAGCGGTCTTGTAGCTGGCGTCGTTGGGATCTCCAGATTCCATCCCCAACAGGCTCTTCAACTCTGTCGGGATCGCAGTGACGGCTGCACCTGTGTCCAAGTTTGCGGTTACCTTGACCCAACCGCTTTCGTCGACCGACAGCTCGTTCACCGCGAACGAATTGATCTCTCCACGGGTCAGCTTGACGTTATCCAGGTCCTTCTGCACCTCGTCATGGCGGCTCTGCAGGAAGTAACGCTCGCGATCGATCTCGGAGTGGGCCATCTTGCACTTCACTCCTTTGCCACAGTGTGACCTCCGGAAATCGAAGCATCGCATCTTGTCGTGCGGGTGCTTCAGGTAGAACTTCTCCTCCTCTTCCTTGCGCTTGCGTGCCCTTGCCTTTCGAACACGCTTCTTCCTGGATTCCTTCTTCTCCTTGCTCATGGGTCGATCTCGTCGGCGAAGAACATCTGTCCTCTTCCGGCCCATCACTCGCATCTCGTCGTCTTTGGTCTCCACGGCGAACTTGGCTACTTCTTCCTGACTGAGCTTCCGGTACGTCCGTGCAGACTTGAAGAATCGGGAGAACTGGTGCTTCTTAAGCTTTCCTCGAGCCACGCGTTTTGCTTGGCCCGTGAAAACACGCACCGTTCCGTCATCCATCTCCTGCACGGCTTCGGTCTCAATCGTGTTGTCTTCTTCCTTGTCGAATTCCTCCTCCTTCACAGGCTTTGAGTCGAACTCTTCATGCCATTCCTTGTCCATCCTGATTCTCTCGGCTGCACGGTCGGCAACTCCTTGTTGGCGATGTAGAGTCGCCTTCCTCCTCTTGCGTTCTTGACTCCACGCCAGCGAATGGCTTGCACCGGCCTTGACAGCTTGATAATACCGCGAATCGTGCCAACTTTGGTCGTTCAGGTTCTCCGCGGTGAGCTTAGGCGCTGCCTTGGCTTTCGCTTTGGTAACCTGGTCATCTCGGTGAATCTTCTCTTTCAACTTGTCCTTCTTGGCCTTCAACACCATGACTTCGGTTTCCAACTTTTGAACCTCTTCTTTCGTTTCGCATTCCTCGCACGCTGCCATCTTCTCGCGAATCGCAGCGTCGATGTTCGCCACTTCCATCTGTTCGATGGTTCGGTGCAAAACTGTCCCGGATGATGACCCTGCGGGTCTTGATGGGAACTCGGCCGAACCAAAGGCTCGACTCATCTCTTCCATCACTCTGGGCTTCACCTCCGCCTCCACACGACCCGCTGAGCTCGAAGCTTGCTCATTGGATCCGGATGCAGGACCGGCCTGACCAACGGTCTGACTCGTCCCGCCATCCTTGGATCCCGGGGGCTGGCCTGGACCAGAGGTCCGACTCTCCCCAACGATCGCGTCTGTCAACTTCTCGAAGTACAGCAAGCGAAGTTCCTGCCTGTGCTTTTCGACTTGCTGCAATGTCTCCTTGTTCATCTTCCGCAAGCTCTCATCAGGGTCGACCTTCTTCCGCAACTTCTCCTTCACATCGTCCTTATAAGCCTGGAAGGTCTTCAGTGAGATTCCCCTCATGAGGCAAATCGTTTTGTCCACGATGTACTCGAAGTCGTCCGGCTTCGTCATTTTGAGTGCAGCTCGAATGGACTTCAGGTCCTCGTTCTCCAGGAACCTTTCCCAATCCATGCCGCACAAGTTGCAGATGTGTTCAACATGTCCTCCTTCGTCCAGTCCGCAATTCTGGCAGAAGCAATAGTCGCAGGGATTCATGCATCGATCTGCATCCTCCAGCTCTTGCTTGATCTCCGGGTCGATCTCGATCTCTACTTCGAGTCCCGCGAGACTGAAGCATCCTGTATCCATCGGCTCTGCATGTGGCTCTGCGGGGGACTCCTCCAGGTTGGACATGTGCTTGCCACCTTTGCCCTTCGACTTGGGATTAGACTTCCCGCCTTTCGGCTTCTGGTTCGCATTCGCTGCACCGCCGCCAGCGCTCCAGCAATCGAGCAAAATGCCCCGTCTTGCCACAGTTGTGGCAAGTCTTCGAACTTTGCGAACCTGAGCCTTTGGCCTGGGATCCTTGTCCTTTTCCGCTGCTCTGCCACTTTCCGATGCCCTTCGAGTCGCCCTTCTTTGTCTTGCCGTCTTTTCCTTTGCCTTTGCCTTTCTTGTTCTTCCCTTTGCCTTTCTTCTCAAAGGCTCCAACGTCCATGGGTTGTGGATCTTGCCCTCCGGGAGGTTGGCTTGCATCGGTCATTCGAAACTTGGCCCCGAGCCTTGCCTCGATGTATAGCACGATCTCATTGCGCACGTCCAGGTACGATGTGAATCTTGAGCGATTCAACTGCAAATGCTTTTCCAATTCGCCAGGGCACAAGTGTTCCAGTACCGACATGCGGATCTCCTCGTCGAGCTGATGCCGTGTTCCGTCCGGTCTCTTCTTGTGTTCGTACTGCCTTACCATTTCCTCCCAAGATTCGATGGAGTTCGACAGGTCTTCGAGCTTGCTCGCCTTGCTTGGGTTGAGAATGGCTCTCAACATTGCTCGTCTTCGGTTCCCGGTAGCCGGGTCAAATCTTCGTACCAGGCGTCGCCACGACTCCAGACCATTGTGCTTTCCAGAGCTCCGTACTATCTGAAAAGCTTCACGTTCACATAACGTCTGCAGCACCGCAAACAGCTGCGAGTTCATGCTGTCGACGTCCACGACTTCGCGTTCACTGGGGTTCAACGGGCCCCAAGCGGCTTTGATGTCAGCCGACATGATCTCATGGTCCATCTCCTCGGCCCACAGCATGATGTCCTCCAGATCCGGATGGATCGAGGTCACAAAGGCCTCTAGTCGAGTGCGCCAGTACAAAAATCCTTCCTCCTTTCCGTCGAATTTGTCCGGTTTCGCTAGTCCACGATTGTCGACCAAGCTCATAGTCTTCTTGGCGTCCTTCGGCACCTTGATGTTTTCGATGAGGTCCTGCTGCGACTGCGCCAAGGCCGTGAACGCTTGCCTCATACCTTCGAAGTGTCCTCCTGGATCGCTTCCTTGTGCTTGCTGAGCGTGAACTAGCATCTCAACTTGCCCTTGTAGTCGTGCTTCGCGCTGCTGTCCCTGGGTGACCTCCTGCCTCAGCTGTCGTACCACGTCGATCAACTCTTGTGCACTCATCCCTCCAACCGTGGCCATCGCTTCCGGTCGTTCAAGAAGTGGCCCAAATGCCCCCAAACTCGTCGGAGGGAGCGGATCCTGAAGATCTTGCGCACCAGGCGCCGCCAGCGATCAACTCGTCGCTGCTGGAGTGCCCTCTGATTCCACCTCCAGCGTGCGCCCACCGAAGCGGCGGACAGCACACCGATGGAGGCGACAATCTCGGGCAGGTAGAGGCCAACCAAGTGGATCAAAAGCGCGGCCAACGTAACCAAGAGCTCCGCTACCATGAAAATGTATATGGACGCTCAAAGCTCGGCCGCTCGCGCTTATTTCCCTTGAGCCAAAAGTCGGGGTACGTGTATAGTATGTACATACCCTACATCCAAACAAAACTATTTGTGTTGCATATATTTTGTGTATAAACTGTGAATCTGTATCTGCCCACCCCAGCCGGGGAGCGCCTCAGGGAAGTTATGCACCGGACAATCAAATCTCCAACCCAAGACATCGCAAGACCTTTACTTGATGTAAATTTGGAAGGTCTTGCATTCCCATCACAGCTCCAAAGAACTGGTTTCATGGCCTTCATCATGCGGAGCCGTGAGAGCTGCAAAGCACCACGGAGCGCCATATCTCCCTGACAGACACAGCAAAATATACACGCACGCACGCTCTGCCTCAACAGCTCGCTGATTGCAATCGGCCAAAGACCCTTACAGTAATTACAACGATCTCAATTTGCCAATGTGCGCATAATGGCGTTCATGTTTTGAAAATGTCACAGCTACCCTCGGTTGTAACGCCAGGGGTGTGGTGGTTGAAATGAAGAAATCCGTAGAAGTGTAGAAAATCAAAACTATTTCCATAGTCGTTCCAGAAAAGAACGGCCGGTGCGGCGTGCTCCTTGTTTTGCGGGATTGCGGGGCACAGAGCTGATCGGGCTTGAGCCTTGTTGAGCCTCTATCGTGTGCCAAGCTCCACGCATGTTGTGCAGATATTGCAGACTGTATGAGGTTGGCAAAGCAAGTAGTGCAACTACTACAGTCTAGAGCAACAGCATAACTAAGGCAACCAGAGATATGAGAGACACCATACCATGCATCTAGCAATACATGGGATCATTCCTCAGTAGTTTGGACATCGGGACATCCACTCTATCAACGCCATCACAAACATAGCCCTTGCATCCGAATCACCACAACTTGTTTCAACATTTGGCCCCATCTGGGGAGTGGACGTGCGAAGGATCAAAGATCGAGCCAAACTCAGCTACTCTGAGGCTTCAGGGATAAAAAGGGATTCGCGCAGGACCTGTAGAAAATGTTGAAAATGACAAGAGCATACCATTGTAAGCTACAAGAATAGTAGAGCTCTTGCGATTCAGACAGAAACTCTACATGAAGCAGTTTTGCAATACAATCTTATTTGGCCAAAGGAGTTCACTTCTTCTATATACTTTTTTTTACCAACCGCATACAATCACTGAGCTTTTGTTCCATCAAGTTCCATCCTACTATTTGCGATTCCCTTCCGGTTGCTTTGCAACAGGACAGCTTTGAGGGAAAGGGCAAATGGCATGTCTTTGTCATGCCAGCAGTTTGTACATCTATAGGTTGCAAACCCTTCAAAAAGGAAACAAACATGCAGCCAACAAAATTCGTCCATTGGTTCATTGCAAAGCTGGTAAGAGGGTCGCTCCAACTGTGGCACCACAGGCAAATCACAACTCCTAGTCCTTCTGACTGGCCAGCCATGTCCGCTGCTTCCGATAGAAGCGCAATCCTGGTGAGCTCCACACACGCGCATTGTGGAGCCGCTTGCGTCGCAGCCAATCCCTTCCTCCGGCACTTTTGGCCGCTCGGGGGTCAGATGCCTCCCACCTCTGGAGCTGGACCTGGAGCTGTGGCCCGTCGGGTACGTCGGGTGCGGGAACGTCTGCGGGTGTCACGTGCGACCAACCATTCCGGTTTGACATCTCAATCATTCACACGAGACATCACGAGACCATCTAGAAGAAAACCCAAGCAATCTTTAGGATGGTCAAAGAAATCTGCAAGTTGCTGTGAACAGTGAACTCAGAAGGAGCCAAGAATGTGTCATGATCATGATATATCATGAGTTGCAACCAGTCAGCCAGTCAGCCGAAACACACTTGCTCTGTCACAATCTGTCAATGGCCTGTCTGAAGTATAAAAACATGATCAGCAGTTCCGGGCCTCTGTTTGCGCAACCATACGGTCCATCTCCTGCACCAAAGCGATTCTTGTTGGGATCTGGATCAGGTTGTCAGGTGATAGTTCATTCATGTTCATTCTGTCTTCTACGCGCAATACTGTGCGAGTGGTGCAAAAGTAGCCTCCCTCCTTTTTTGGCAAAATTGACCATATACGGGGTTCGGGCTCTTCATCTAATTATTTTAGCTATGGCTATGTGAGTGAGTGTCCTTCCTCCAGTGGTCCAAATGTATCAGGTGTTCCACCAAATTCCATATTGACAACAAACAATGGACATGACATGACAACATCAGTACAGAATTCAATTTGGTATCACAACGTATCTCACAAGAAGAACAACCTGGGATCCTCCTCTTCCACCTTACAGCAACTGGGTGATGTAACGAACCTCCTCCTCTTCCTCGATTGGCTCGCTCGGCAATCCTCGACGGCCCCGCCTTCAAAGAGGTGGTCCGCACCACATCACCACCTTCCTCACGTAGACGCCAGGCCAAGCAGCCATCTTTGGGTGTGGCACACCAACGCACAGCGTCATCACCTGTCACTGTGGAAGTCGACGGCAGATTGAATCTGACACCGAAAGTGCTTGCATCTGACACTGCGTTCTGCTGTTCGCATCTCCAACTCCAACGTATCTTGCTGGCATTCGGACGTCTGCATCGGATTATTCTGTTTGATTTTGTTTTTTGGGCGCAGGTAGCAACAAAAAACTGCAATCCCGGGGATACGCCTAGCATCCTTATCAATTTATTATGATGTATCGTCATATCGTTTTCACTGCTGCGTCGCCTAGGTGCAAGACCAAATCGCCACCAGCCACCACGGACTCCCCTCTTGTGGCCAGCAAGGTCGCCACTTCGTTTTTGAAAACCTCCGACCGGATTCGGTATGGCTCAGCAAACTCAACCAACTTGTCACTTGTTGTCCGTCGATTTGGGCTATTTTATTCTATTTGTGATCATTGATCTTGACTTTGGGATCCTGGCTTGTGCCTTCTTCCTTATGCAGCAGCGCCCTCAAATCCTTCCTTCTGGAGCACTTTCAAGCATGAGTCGTTCTATGTTTTCCTGCAGCGATGCATTTGTTGGCCTTCGCCTGTAAACTGCCGCCCGGCCCCATCAGTTAGCCGGTCTCTCCCCGCCGGCCTCCGGCGTCCCCAATGGGTTGCCGTCCAAACCTCGGCGTCCAAAAAGTTCCGAAGTCGCCCACGACTCCCATATGGGAATCAATAGGGTGCTTCGGCCTTCCAACTATTGCTAAGCAAACCCCGCTTTCCAACCCTGGTGTGGGGAAAACAGCGACTGAGCCAGCACAGCTCCAGTGCTGGTGTTGAGAAAATGCGGAGGATGAAACAACCGCCAACAGAAACGTTGCCCAACTTCTTGAGCAACCCCAATTGACTGACCGCGAATAGCCCGGACGACCAACGGTGGCCGGTCGACCAACTCAAAAACGGGGTTTGTATGCTCGCCTACACGTCTCAGTGCGCGGAAAACAAGGTTGCACTCTGATAGGTAAGTTACGTATGTCGCAGAAGTTCTACAATCTATATATATATAGTATTAGCTTGTTTCAAGTGCAACAGCAGTTGTATTTTAAAAAAGAGTATGTAAGTGCATGCCTCGTATTGAGGCCACATGTCCCCTTTTAGGTGCAACTCAGTTGACAACCAACACATCATTCATGCCAAGTGTCGAAGTATGTCGAGGTCAATGCGATTGTCACATAGCGCTGCGACCAAATTTAAGGCTGTCGGCCCATCCAGTTTGTTCCCTGACAGGGTACTGAGAACATCTGAGAACATTCCGCCGAGGAGCGATTAGTTGGCCTACCAGCCTACGACTTGCTTCGATGTTTTCACGAGCCAAACATAGCCAAACGCATACATGGCTAGTCCAAAAGCATGCCCGGGGCATGTTTTCAAGGCACCTCACTCCCACCCACATCAAGCATCAACCAAACAGCACTCAACCAGTTGGAGAGAGTGCTTGAAAAACAAAAAACTAGTGTTCGACGGCGGAGAGTATGCTCTGTAAGTCCAACGCCTGCAAGATCCAGGACTTGGAGGGCTCTTAAGCTCTTCACCGTATTGAGGATGCCCTGCCAGGACGGGTCAAGCTTTGGTGCGTCGCGGATTCCAATCCCTAAGGCCAAAGAGGTGTCCTTGATCTCTTCACGTCAACCGTTGCACCGGTTGCTGAATCTTTGCATTTCTTCCTTGGGTACGAGAAACAGGCTAAATTCCTTGGAATCCCCACCTCCAAGTAGCTTGGGTCAAGGTCGCAGCCTTCCAAATCAAGCGTCTTCACTGTGTCCCCAGCCTCAACACTGATAGAAACCAGCAATTGATAGCAATTGTGTCAATTGAGCGGAAACAAGCCGTGCATGACACCACTGGCACATTGCGCGCTTGCAACAAGTCCCAAAGCACACAATTGCCAACAACAGGACCAATGAAGCTGATTATATCCTATATTTGAAACAGGTAAGTTTGCATTCCTCCTCTGTGTGCATGCGTTTCTATGCTTTGGGTGTCTTAGGGAATACACATGGATCTTGACTTGCAAAAGCTAAGTCTCTTGCCAGCGTGAGGAGGGAAAGCGAATCCTGCTGAGCTTTGTGTCCAGAGCGCAAGATGGCTGGGCTGCTGTGCACAACTGACTTTCCAAGAACAGTCGCGGATACTGAAGGCACTTGGGCATCAAAGGCTTCTGTGGTCACCGGCTTTGCCAGCCTTTCTTAATAGCACTGATCTCGACTCTGCATCAACCAAGCGGATGGTCGCCAGGTTCCACTCCAATTAATCGTGTTCAATCCATGGCGTATCTACAAATCAGCTTGCGTTCTCTAAATCGGCATGCACTCAATCGGCTTGCTCTAGGCACCTCATTCACGAAGCCAGCATTGCCAGCAAGGCTGATCGTCCGTAGCTTCGGCCCATAGTGTACAAACATCTGGAGAAAGAGGGCGAAGATGGTCAAGCACAACATACGTCAGGATGGTCAAGTATCTACAATCTGCATGTGTCTGCTGTCACCCCGTTCTATTGTAACAGCAATGTTAAGTTCAGTGTCTCTTTGTGTGGGTACTGTTTGCCAACCAATTCGTTCTGAGGGCTGAGGGGTCCCAACTGTGCAACGCCATGATTGAAAACACACAAGCTCAAGTTGGATCAAACGGATATGTGTGAAACAATTGGATGCAAGTAGATGTCAAACACTAGCTAAATCCTGTTGAATACTTGAGGATTGATCGACAACCGAAATAAGGGGCAACAGCATTGAACAGTGGGGGGTCAAAGCAAACCTTCTGATAAGATCGGGGTCGTTTGCATTTGCTGAATGGGCGACTAAGATCTGTGGCAAGCCATGTTCTGCTTCTTGATGTGAAGCGAAGTGCTGAACCGGAACCAGCTAAGTAGCCCATCAGCCTTGCCTCCATCAGACCTTCCAGCAAAAGTGACCCAGGATGAAAATGCACCTGGGCCCAGCGCGACCCAGCTGCAAGTGTCGGACGTATGCGAAATGGTTCCGTTCCGAAATACTGCTGTTGTTCAGTTCAACCTGATCTGAAACAATCAACCTTATTGAGGGTAGGCGCCATCTTCAACCCGCTAACACCCACTATGCGCTTGGGATCGAATCACAATAATCACCTTCACATCGGCTGAACTGGAGAGGTTCGGCTCCCACGCATACGCCGCTATTCATTGAGGCTCAGACATTGACGATTTCTTCCTGGACCAAAACTTGTGAAACATAATACATATATAATTGTAGTATATTATATAGATATAGTAATATAGTATGTTGATAGTATTTTAGTAAAAATGAACCTGGACTGAAGTCAAAGGTCCAAGGTCTCTCCAACACAATTGTTTAAAGCTGTGGATCTTGCACAAGACTGTAGATGTCAAATGATTTCACCACGATGCGCATCCTGTCAAGTTCCAACATGTGAGCGCTCCCATGGACAGTCAGCTCCTCAAATGCCAATGCAGCATACAGCAGCCTGATTCCAAAAGGGAAGCTACCAAAGTCACCACAAGTCTCTTTGGGTTTTGTGATCGCACTTACGCAAGGACGCTACTAGCATCAAAGGGCATGGCTACAGGAGCAAGAAGCTACTAGTAGCTCCTGGCATTACTACTAGGAGCAAGGACGCTACTCTACTAGTAACGCCCAAGCTGAGAGAGGACATACATGTCTACGTTTGGAGACAAATTCACAAAAGGCGCTTCGTCTGACATCGCCTGCTTCAAGTGAGATCAAGCAACTGAATATAGATCGTGCCATAGCTTAGGTATATCCCATTCCCTGCAACAAAGGATGATGATGGTTAGTAAAGGCCTTTCTCAAAAGTAGTGACAGTCTTTGCCCGACTGTTACAGGTGATAGGACACACCGTGTGACACGCCCTAGCCATAGCCCGTCATAGCTCCAGTAAATACAGCATAGAGCAGCTAATTCTCTCGGAGGAACCTCCCCAAAACTGTCCGGTGCGTTTCATAAGAGGATTTTTGGGTACGTCATGGTAAGTCTAAGGATGGCTTACAAGGTGCTTGGCTGCTTGACCCTCAAACCTTTGTGAGTTCTAAGTTCTTTGCAGTACTTCCTAGCTAGGTCAGAATGCGGGTAAGACGGCGCCGCCATCTCTGAATCGCAGAAACATTGTACAGAATGAAGATCTGCAGCTATCTATCATGTCCCAAGCCTAGTCCACAAACAACGGCTGCTCTGAACACACGAGATATATAAGTTTCTATGCTGCAGTAGAGTCACTAAGTTACTAGGTCTATCACTAAAGAGGCCGCTGTTCTGTCCACAAAGTCCAAAGGAGCATGTGTTCTGCGTCTTGTGTGTCGTGAAGGGTGTTCTTTGGACCTTTCCCTGAAGTTTTGCCATCTTCTTCACCATTAATCTAAGAAAGAACCCAATGTGCACTCTTGGGCTGCCCGGCCCAACACTACCATGAAGAGCACCCGGAAGGCCATCCTGCGAGAATGGCCCAAACAAGGACGATGAGCAACGTCAGACTTAGCAAACAAGCTGATTTGTATAGAAGGTAAGGCTTGTCGTTCCTATCCGTCCATCTCTGGTGTCCTCCTGTTCAGCTTTGCCCAAGTCTTCGCCCCGTTCAACTTTGCTGCGAACCTGGAAGTGACCAGAAAGGTGCATTTCAGACTTGAGACTTTCATGTTTCAGTTTCTGCCCAACAGTTTTTACTGTCTTTTATCTTATGACTTATATGTGTACATTGATGGTCAGTCTTGAGGATAAAGCAAGTGAAGGTCGTAGTGGCAAAGCATCCCTAGACTCCTAAATTTCCTAGATGCACACCATTTTGGACGTCTATTCTATCAGATGAAACTGGTCTTGGGCAGAAGGAATTGTCTGATGACCTTTGCAGCCATTGCTCAAAATGGCCTCAGGATCCTCTAAGTCAAAATCGGGCCTCGGAATGGCATCGTAACTTCACAAGCAACAAAATCACAAGTCTCGCTTCGTGCGACGTTTTGGCTGCACAGGCTACCTCACATCACCGACATATCTGCCACCCAAATTCAGCTGTGCGGCGGAGGAGGCACTTCCATATGAAGGATTGGCCTTGTGTCCAGGGAGGTGGAAAAAATGGCGGCAAGGGCTCATGTCTGTGTTATTCACGAACACGGAAACCCTGAAGAACTGAAGAACCGATAGGCAGGACCAGTCAGATCATGATCATTTACCTTACCTTCCTACCCCAGAACACTGCTTCCCATAGCCGCTCTAGGCCGTACTAAAGTCTAAGAGCAACGCCCTACCACAGCCGATTTGGAACACAGGTTCAGGAGCGGCATATTAGCAACCTGTGACGGCTGCAAGGATTGCACAAGGCTTTGCATTTGATATATTTGCAACGTGCACGCTGGATCTAAAAAAAGCAAAGAACAAATCGGTACTATAAGGGCTGCTGATTGGCAGCGCATTCCGTTCACTCTCCAACCCTTTGATAGGGCTAGAACCAAAATTAATGTTTCAATTTATATACAAACTACACTAATTGCCCGGCAATTCGACAGCGCAGCATAAAACGCGATGAACAAGACAAGTGTAGCTGTCGCAAGTGTTCTCTTGCTGTGCATATTAGTGAACTAAACATTTGGAAACCTCTCAAATCTAAAAAGACATAAAACGTTTGCAACGTCAAACAACTGCAAAGCACCTCTGTTGAGTTCAGACTAACTGCAGGAAAAGTACATAAATCTCTTGCACATTGGAGTTGGAGTACTCTCTGATCTAGGGGTGAAGCTGTAAAGGCCAATCCCGAGACATGTCCATCCTCTAGGAGTTAGCTGCCAGACCACCTCCGTGTACCACTTGTTTCTGTCGAGGATCATTCGGGGGACCTCCAGTGACAGGCTGAAGTAACTTGCTGAGGAAATGAAACACTCAAATGGCCTCCAACCTAGAAGCGTTGGCCTCCACCCTACTAGTGATGGCCTCCACCTTACTAGCGATGGCCTCCGACCTAGAAGCGATGACACTCATGATTTGTACGTTTCAAGGCAAGAAACCATCTGAAACCAAGAAGCTACTAGGAACAAGTGCATCGCTACTAGGAGCAAGTGCCTTCCTAGTAGTAACAAGAAGCTACTAGGAACATCATTGAACATCATGAGTTCAAGGGGTCGATGTACGATTTCCACAAGTGGCTCTACCTGAGAACAGCCAGAGCTATCAAAAGCACACTGCGTATATCATCCATAGCCTCTGTCACTGACATTGGTGGTTATTGTAGGTAATCAGCGCAGCACGAGAAGCGATTCTAGTAGCACGCGATGGACGATATGTTTGCAAGAAACACTTGACATTTGCCTTGACACATACTGTACTTCCTTCATACTTCATGCCTCTGCACATTCTTTGCTGCAGCATTGTCATCACCACTATAGTCACTATTGAGGAATCTGAGGACAAGTACTTCCGCAAGCCGAAGACGCTTGTGCGGCGTACCTTTGGTGCCAAACATCACTGTGAATGCATCAGGCCAGTGACGCACTTTCGAACAGTCTGGCTATGGCAATGTCCACTGCACCCTCTGGAATGATTAGTTTATATTAGTTTAGGGTGGCAATCACCTCGTGAGCTAGTCAAATTGAGCTGCTCCTGCAACAAGTGGAAAACCAAAAAGACTGAGACTACGCCTGTGCGGTGAAAGATACTGTAGCTGTTTCAAACATCCAATCGTTACTCTTTACTTTTGGGGCCAAGACACCGAACGGTTGCATCACCAAAAGCCTCGGCATGGATGCATTGACATCCACCGGTGGGGCTCGCTCCACCTGTGCGCACATGGCAAACGCAAGCTATGCCATGCAGGAAGACAAGCACAACCTTGACACGAAATTAGCGACCCTCAAATGCTGGTAATGGTCGGCCGGGTGTGGAAAGGAGGAGCTCCGGTTGTTGGGGCTGTAAGTTGCTGGCCCTGCTGGCATGGGCGCGGGTCATTGTGCAAATGCTTGTTGGATGCTGCGGGATCGGGGCTTGAGGGGTGGAAGGATCTCGATGACCCGTAGGCACAGTGTCAGCTTCTCTGCAACTGTCTGAGCTCTGGGGGAGCGCTCTCTTGAGGGATGATGAGGGCGATATATGAAGGTTGGTGGTGTTCGCGTTTCGTTACATGAGCTGCATTCACAAATCTGCACAAGCAAACGCAGCCTCGGCAAAGCCGCATTATTATTCTATGGTACTGGAGCCAAATATCCAGTGGCCTAGAATACGGACGATGGAAATCCGGGGCCAAACTCTGCAGGTTGACTTTCTGACAAACTTCTCCCGCCTGGTGAGCTATGCGGCAAATGTCAAACTCGCACGAACGTCGATGCCTTGGTGGAAGTGATGTGGAAAGACCATCAACGATTGGCACGATGACCGTCGGCAGTAGAAACATCTTGGAAAATCTTAGAAATTGTAGGCTTTGTTTGCCAATTGTCAATGTGCTCGGTACTCCCTCGGGCCCTTGAGCATTTTGAGAGCTAACAGCTAGGCCAGCACGTACACCAAAGCACACAAGTATGCACTGTCATGGTTGTGTATATATATATATAATTGGAAGAAGGATGGAAGGAAAGTTGCAGCCAAATTACACTGCAAAAAAACAATTGGTCAACTGGAATCATCCTGTAGCCTATATCACATGTTCAAGATGGACCCCCAGAAGTGGTTTGTACTCCCAACTTCAACATTTAAAGAACACGCAACGGTCTGTGTGACCCCACCACTCATCTTCGCTCTCTTCCGGCAATGGTTCTTTGCCCCCTCCATGCCATACCTGGTTCGAAAATCTGTCCGTCAGAAGCATTGTAAGTATTTTTATTCCTCATGCGCATCCTTGCCACATCTCTAAACATGGATATCATCCAGACATCAAATCTCTATGGAAGCAAAATATTGGTGAAGTGATTATATATATATAATCTTGTGTTGATATGGATATGTGTTGATGATTTTAGCACCGGACTCCTTCGCCCACCAAGTCATAGTCGAAGAGAACCCGCACTTTGGGTTCCTGGACGGTTTGGCAGGTTTGGGCATCAACACCTATCTCAACGCTGAGCGCTCAAGTCAGCATACTCGAAGCGCCTTCTTGCTAAGCTACTCAATGAATACATGACACCTTCGGTCACTCCCTCCCGCTCCGAGACCACGCTGTCCAAGGCTTTGAAGATGAAACGCTTTGCCTGGACTGGAGTCGAATGAGATCACACCTCTAAATGCTTCAAGTGCTGGAAGTAATGCTAGAAACACCCCAGTAGCGGTGTCCTTTGTTCCTAGTAGCATCCTTGCTACTAGAAGCAATTCGAGTCCATCCAGAACCACTAGTAACTAGTAGTTTGGTGTTTGTCTGTCTAGCAATTTTGGTCTGTGGAACTTTGATCAAGTAACGAGGGAATTCTTTCAGCTCTGGAGGCTTAAACATGCCATGCCTGGAATGCCGAACTCCAGAGGCATGTGGACATGGGTGATTTGGGAACAAGGTACGGGTTGCTGCAGTTTCAGCAGGGACGAACCTGCTTTTGCAGGGACGAAGGAGATGTCAAAACACAACCCATGTCAACGCAACAGAAACAGGATGTGTATCTAGTATCACTGAGGTGCGCAATTGTTCAACATACAATATTCTTTAATTGCTGACCCTGCTGTCTCTGTTCCCACACGGCAAACCAACTCCGTTCCCAACACACAGCTCGCTCACAAACCTCACCTGCTCACAAGCGTCTCTGGATGCAGCGCCCTGCGGAATGCTACAGTTGCCACCTCGGAACAAACAAGTCCATGGCTCGTCAATTGAATACATTGTTTATGCATTCTTTAACATGGCAAAGGTAGCCAAGTAGAAATGAAAAAAGGCACTCTCCGAGAGCAGGTGCACCGGTTCCACCAAAATGTATTGTGTTCAAGGGCCAGACCTCCGGAGGATGCCTCAAGGCAAAGCTACCATGCTGGAGCAAAGATGGGTTGCTTCACCAAAATTGACAAACAACATGGCGATCAAATGGAGTACATCATGGATAATTCATTGTGACAAAATGGTGAATCAATGTAATTGAGTGGGTCCAGGAGGCAGCTTATCCAAACATGCGAAAGCCGAAAATGACCTGCCTCCATGACAGCCAGGGTTCGGAACCGCACCCACGCCATGCAGCTGCACCTGTTCAGAAACGGTTGCAGCCTCCCGGACAGACCTTGATGTATATCTTTTTGAATTGGAGTTGGATCCAAGCAGCTCTCCTGTTACAGATTGAGGATCAACTGATCAACTATATGAATATGAAGGTACCGATCAAGGACATGACTGTGACATCAGTTGAGAAAAGATCCTGAGGTCCGAGCCATCTTAAGGCAGCGAGTCGTGGTGCCAACCTGTGGCATGACACAGCATAGCCACTGGCATAGCCATGCATAGTCTGAACAACATCTTCCTGAACCTGAAATACCCAAACTGTCCCGACAACCAAATGTTTTGTTTTGCTTGGATGAGAAGAGCAAATTCTCATATGAGCCACGGTCAAAATCAATTATATACTTATGCTAAGGAGGTTTTTCATCGTTATCGGTTTTGGGGGGGACCTTATCGGTTTGCAGGGTTTTGTTCAAGCAGATGCTTTTCAGATACTTTTGGCAATCGCGTTTACATTGTGGATGCATGAAACGGAGCTACCTACTCGCTGAAATCAGAATTCCGCCCGCACCGAAGGTGCTGGGGCGTGTGTATCTGGATGGCAGAGTCAATCGCAAGATTTCAGCTTTAGCTGGGGGCCCATTGTCGGGCAAGAAACCTGAGTTTTTCAAGGTTGTTGAAAGTCGAGTGCAAACAACGTTGTAAATAACGGCATTTGATGAAGGTTTTGGTGCACACAATTTTTTGAGGCGTTCTTGAAAATCTTGAAACAGTTTAACAAGAAAAGAAAACAAGCTGTGGGGTTTTGAAGATTTGGTCAAAAATAGCCAGGTAGGACCGGCATAAACAAACATCTGGCTAGTGGTTCGTATTAGCCAGGTAGCGCCAGGACGGTGGGACAACAGTACAACTATAGTCTATAGTATACTGTACAACTGCCCTGCTGATACCACGGCAAACTAGGTAAGCAAAGAAAACAGCACAATAGTTGAAAGGCTGTAGCTGGGTTCAGCAGATAGCTCTCCGGTGTGGGCGAATAGCTCGCCGCGTGACCGCGGCGCGGTCCGTAAGAAGCATCCGTTCGAGGCTCTGGATCGAAACTGTGATCTGTTCCCAAACAACCAGTAACCGGCCATGCTTCCACCTTCCAAGCTGGAAGAAGCCGGCTTCTGCTTGCCTCAAAGGACGGCCATGTTGCAAGGTGTTTCAGTATTGACTATACTAGTAGTGACAAGTGCATCGCCAGTAGTAACAAGAAGCTATTAGAAAATTATTGTACTTCAATGGCCAGCTCTCACAATAATCATCTGTCTCTGTACGGTCTGCTATTGCAGGGAGCCCCTTAGAGTGCAAACAGTCGTGTGTTGTACTGCATGCTGGTGGGCATGCGATGTTTCCTCGCCCTTACTGTACATGTTTAGCTCAGCATCGTTTTGCTCTTTTTGCCATAATTGTAACATGTCCGCACAGTCTTTTTTGATGCCTCCAGATATTGTGCGGAAAATACATATAATTATCTAACCAATACGTCATCCGCTTCTTCCAGCATGGCCCATACATCTCTTTGAGTCTGTTGGCTCTGGGCCCATGGACTTGAAAGCCTTCTCCACGAGCTCAGCAAAGTTGGGGCCCATTGGCACAGACAAAGCATCTTCCCTTGGTTGAGGGACATTTGGAAATGAGCGGTTGAAACAAAGTATATATACCGATATTGAAATGATGAAGTTGATGTTCTTTGACGTATATATGTTGTCTAAATATATTGAATTTCAACGAATTGCAGTGAAAGTCCAATTCGATCACATATGAAAAAAGACAACTACTACTGGCAAATGACTCTGGGGTGCCCAAACCAAGCTTTCAATGAAACTCGCAACTCAGGCGACTCCTTGCATGGCATGAACGTTGAAACTCAGTGTTGGTAGTGATGCTGGCATGACAATCTCTTCCTATGCTAAGCACGTCCCATTGACAGGTACAACATCCATCACCGAGTCCTCCTGCTCCCAAGAAGGCAAGCCAGGAAGCGATCCCTTGGCCAGACACATGATCACATGAGTTGCCTAAAGAGCTGCTCATGGATCTCATGATCCCAAGTCTACAAGCGTGCTAGATTCTGCTAGATGGAACTTCTCCGCGAGGCCTTGGCTGCCGTGATGTTACGGCACGACTGCCTCTGGTGGCTTTTACATTAATCATATACATTGATCTACCATACAAACAGCCCTTTGTTTGGACTAGGAATTGAACGGTTCCTCCACCATGTGCCACCCACAGAAACGAAAATACGCGGCCTCCTCAAAAAGCCGATGACCCACTTCGAGGATCCATCGGCCAACGGTCTCACCGTCCATGATGATCTGGGTGGCCGATGCTAAGCTACAAGGATATATATATATATATAATCATATATATATTTTTTTTTGTTTTATGACAGATTCATCACACGCATCGGAAAACAATAGAGGTCTCCCAAGGTCCAAAGAATGTGCATCATGGAAATCCATGGAAATCCATCATGCTTTGTTCTAACTGCTTTGGGATCCGGATCTGGTCTTAGCACATCAGCATCTTCGGAGGGGAGCTGTGGAGCTGCTCTACCGGCCTTTGAGAACACTCCCCTAAATGAGCGATGGTTGGTGTCAGTCACAGGCCTTGTGACATCTTGTGATCGATGCCCCGCAGCAAAGTCGAACAAAATGGAACTTTCCATGGTATAAAGTTATTAAAGGCAGCAGTACAGCAGTAGTAATGACTGGATGTCAAAACATAAATGTGACACTCTAGACTTTCGAAAGTGTGGAGTTGTGCCTAACACAAAAATGGTGGACTCTTATGGACTCTTAAGGTTATGAAGCTAAACTCTCAATCTCACGCAGCATCAGCTTTTCTGAAACGAGCGGTGTGGGCCGTGGGCTGACGAGTCGAAGCATCCCTGACTATCTCTCTCTCTCTCTCTCTCTTGTACTTGGCTTGACATTGCACCGTGTCCGAGCTGAAAGCAAAGACTGGTCCATCAAAGCATAGGCTTTACGTGAGTCTGTCAAACCGTTCTAGTCTAGTGCAGCAAGCTAGGTAGACAGCTCATGCAGATCCTCAATACCACATCCAAGCTGTGCCATGCTTTAGTATGATAGATGTGGCAGCAGGAGGATCTACAACCAGTTGGGCACGTACCAATGCCCCAGCTCACTTCGTTCTGATCCACGCCGCAGCATTCCTCTTGGCCATCTTGTCAACCCGATAGCCGATGCCCAGCTCCCTGAGTCATGTTCGACAAAACGCTACCTTCTTTACTGGTCAAGGGTTGGTTGCCAAGATAATTAGTTTAGAAAACAAAGATGGCATAGCTTGATCCAGCTTGGATCAATCAGCGATGCTCCCCCTATTCTAATACAAGTCTTGAGGGAAATATTATACCGTAGCGATATAGTCACCCAGTTGAAACCTCCAACCAACTCCCAAGCGCAAGTTATCCAGTCAGTAAAGGTCGACATGACTCCCCACCTCAAAAGCTCTCGTGGGCACTCTCCTGGCATCAGGTTGCTGAGGCCTCCCCCAACCGAGTTTGGAAGAGAATTTACCTGTGTTCCTAGTAGCTTCTTGCTCCTAGTAGTACAGCAAATGAATTTACTCTAGCAACAGCATGTTGGAAACATGTTCAACGTCATGGGCACCATGTTTGTTGAAAGCGTGCTCTGTCAGACAAAGCTCTTTCGGGCAATCGAACGTAACTATTTGGACTAGACGGGCTGTTACCACGCCTTGGCATGTCAGGAAACCCTTCGCAAAGGTTCCCCTTCCCACTGAAACCCTGCCACTCCTGGATGAATCAGGCGACTGAACACCATAGGAGTGAGGTTGCCCTGGCAGCATGCAAACAGCATGCGAACAGGCCACAGGCGCAGCTGCAAGTTCTCATCATGTGGCAAAATGAACCCTCTCAAATATCTTCCCATGGCCATCCAAACAAACGCATGAGGCATACATGGCATAAAAAGGAGCAACGTCATTGCGACTTGACGAAGACTAGATTGCCTTACCCAAACCCTGCCTGCTCCTGCAGCAAAGCCTCTTGCATAGATCGGGTCGGACTCGTCTTCCATATCAAATAGCGACTCTGAGAAAGCATTGTAGGACACGTAGCCTCATTTCAAAGGAGGCGGGAATCGACACACGAAGCTTGAGTGGGATTGAAGAAGGCAACCAGGGGAAGTCGTCAGATTTACAATGTATCTTATAAAACTTATATAACTGAGAATGTCCAAAGTCCCACTCCAAACACTTCCAAACCTTAGCAAAGATAATGTCCCAACTATTCTAACACTTGCCAAGGAGCACATGGTGCTACACATCGCCATGATGGCCGGGCTCATCAACATCAAGGCAGACTGCAGGTTGTACTCCTCACCCATTTTCTGGTCGAAGAAGGGATGCATCGTGATCCTCGTGACCACTGTCACATCTTCATCATTCCCGTGCACCGTGGATTGAGTCGTCTCGCGGCCGCCCAGGGATGAAAGGAGGCCCAAGACATCGAAAAAGCACTGGAAGACGGACATCATACCCAGCATGAAGAGGCAGTACATGGTCATGTTTTTGCAGCCATCTTGCAGCATGTAGACCACAATACCAGTCATGATGGCAAAAATCATGCCTGCAAAGGCGTCCCCACTAACAATCTCACCAAGCGACAAGCAGGACAGCAGAATTGCCACCAAATACCAACCATAAATATGTGATGTCTTTACAACGTCTGGAACCAATCCAGGAGCTGCATCGGCATTCAATGGTATTAACATGGATAGCGAGGTGAAGCACCTCACGTGCGCTACCGAACTAGTTGGAGGCGTAAGTTTTCTCAGCCCAGGAGCGGTTGCCTGAGGCTTGAGTGCTGTAGCCCAAACATGGCGGTGATGACGGTCGGTTGATGAGCTACGTTTGGGAGAGGCAAGTATGTCTACGGCCTCTGGGTGCCAAGCGTTACTTCAAATCCATACCAGGTGTTCCTACTAGTTATATAGTAGTTCATATCATGCGATGTTCCAGTCTCTGAAAAATCCAAGCATCTCCTTCCCCCGCCCGTTCTGAGCTGGTCTGGCCACGTCCTCAGAGGAGTTCTCTGGAGCAAGGAAGGTGAACGCCTGGCTGGCTTCCAGGCCTTTCTTGCAAGGGCCTTCCTTTTGCCAGTGCTTCCACGCTGTTGCTACACGTAGCCGCTCGAAAAATGAACTGATCCAGTTGCAAGATCCAGTTCAAATCCTCTGCACATTCAATTTGGATGCGAGATATCAAGATTATCAATACGAGATACCCACGTTTTGACTCCTGGCATCTCCTGGCTCAGGCCTCTCTGGACAAACGATCATTGGTGAAGAGTTTCGACACCTGGGCGCTAGTCGCGGCATAAGACCAGTGCCACGAAAACCCGTCCTCTGAGTCCCCAGTCGCGTCGCTGCAGCGATCCCTATGTCGTGGTCAAGGGCCCTATAAATTAGAACACAAAACTCACACGAGGCGGTTTCGACACAGAGGAGCCAACAGGCTACTGAAAAGAGTCTATCCGTCGCTATCTGACATGCTGTGGCTGCCTTCACTCCAATCATATATATATATATTATATATATACAGTATATATTTATACAATATTGTTGTTGAATGAATGTACAGATGTCAAACATTTTAAGACAAGTTGAGAAATTTGTTGAGGCCATGGCATAAGCAATGCCTTCCTTCGCATCTTGGTCCAAGACCTCAGTGGTCAATATGGCCTAATATTCCTGCAACATCCTGAAAGACTGAAACCTTGAGGGTGCCACACGGCAGCGCAAAACCCTAAACAGCTTTGTCGGGTTTGGCATGTGCAGATATCGATCCCTTACTTTCTGGTCTAGATGCCATCTCACGGATGCATTCACAGGATTCAAACACACAAGCGCGATGAATCATGTTGCGGCATTAGTCGTCCGTGATTCTGTGTGTTTCATTGTTCGTCTATTGCCAAATCTCCGCATTTGTTTATTAACGGTTCTGGACCTAAGCGGAGCACATCTAGTGAATCTACAGTATAGTTGCATCGAGGCAGCTAATCTTCAGGATGGGAAGTCAATGGGGATAGTAGTGATGTGAAGTGGAAAGGTCAGATCGTAGAATGTCAGCTGTACCCTGTTGCTTTTGGGAGTTGATACAAGAAGGAATCAATGTCAGCACACAGCAACTGCATTGACAAGGAACAGATCGGACACGAATATGAATGTGAATGAATGCTTTTGTATAGTGAATTGGTGAATCAATGATGAAAACGAAAACTGCAAAATAAAAAATAAACACTGAAACTTGAAACCCCAAATGCTAACTTGCGGCAATTCGGCGCGGAAAACTGCCTGAACATCCACATCCATCCCCAAGCACACGACAAACTTCTGCGGCGTCGCCAGTTGTTGGTTCTGAGATCAATGAAGCATTCTGGACAAGTGGATTTGGGCCCTCAGACTTGCTGTCCTGCACAAATTCATACACACCACAATAATCGGTTGCCTCTACCGGTTGTGCAGGCTTGTATCCCATTCCAAGGTTCAGGGATGGTCCTTTGCATCAATAGACACCTATTCTAGCATTGGCGCAAAACAATCAAAAACCATATGCCATAACAGAGCAGCTTATGGTGGAATACACAGATCTTCAATGAGGGTCTCCCAAAACATGTTGTGTTCTGGAGCTGCCTCGCGAATCTTTCAAAAAGCAGATTGTCTGGCGGCTGTGAAGGTTGTACATGTCGAGTTTAAAAGAAAAGACTAGTGACTTGGGTTCTGCAGACGAGTGCAAGTCGTCATGGAAAGAAGCAAACCAAATCAACCGACTCGCAGACTCATAGCCCCTGAATATGGCTATATTCTGCATTTGTACATATTTGTACCTTCAAATAATCCTTTAGTCAGTCAAAATCCTTTGCTTGGAAGAGTCGAGCTGGCCTGTGTTTGGAGTGAAGTGTCGATGTCGTCAATCATGACAGGCTGAACCTCAGTGAAAAATCTGATTGCAAGTGATCGACATATCTATACTACTAGGAACAAGTGCCTCACTAGTAGTAACAAGAAGCTATTAGCTTATTGTTTCTAATAGCTTCTTGTTACTACTAGTAAGGCACTTGTTACTAGTAGCGATGCACTTGTTCCTAGTAGCTAATGGCATGATTGCAAGTGATCGACATCGGCAATCGCCTATCCTGTAATTCATCTCGTGAAACCTCTCGAGTCTCCCACAGATGGGAGAAGCTCGCTGCATCTCGGCTGGCCCAGTCGGGCTGTGACACCACTAAAAGTTTGGTAAGAAGATGGTAAGAAGAAAGGCGTCGTTCAATCTTCATCTGAGATGTTAGATGATGTTAGTTTGCGATGTCTGTACAGTATGTTGATTCCAGTTATTTCATGTTGTTTCCAGTTCCAGTTGTGCAGCTGTGCCTTTGAACTTGAATAAATTCTCACAAAGTGTGACCATAAATAAAGGCTTGCTCATGGAGACGATCACACATCGAATTGGCCAGAAAGCACCACAAAGCTGGGAGCAGAAAAGTGCAATGTCTCCGGTCATGCCAGCAACGGTTTCACTTTGGAAGCTCGCTACATGAAATCTCGAAGGAAATAAAAAAAAGGCTTCACAAAAGGAGTGCCATCCGGCTGTCCGGCCAGTGTGTGGTCTGTTTCTCCTCTTCACCCCTCTTGTATCGCGCAGGAACGCAGGGTCTGAAGCCAACTGGCTGAAAATCGTTCTTCGCTTCCGACCCAACTGCCGAAGAGACCCAGAAGTGTTTTTCTTCTCCTTGGGCCTTTGGCCTGGTTGGATCGAGAGTCGATGCATTTACAAGGTGGGTCAATTGGGATTGAAATCATCCACCAGAGACTTTCTCAAACAACCGATCAGCTTCTCGCGCATACCTGGCGTGGACATCTTGGTGTCATCAGTGATAGGTACTGTAGACTACAGGGCCGCGAAGAAGCATCTGCGAGGTCCACAAATTGCAGCTGTTTAAGCTTCATGCTGTCGGCTGTCGCGTCATAGCATCTTGAACATACAGTTCGAAAAGGGGTCCTTCTGCAAGCATAGGGTGGTGCCACTTGTCAAATTGTCAGATAGGGGCACTTGCTGCCCTTCACCAGCGCATAGTTGCCACGGCGCATACGCAGGTCTGGCAAGTCCTTGGAAAGCCAGGACATTGAAAGCCTTGGGAGGCTTGGAAATATAAATTATAACTTATAACGGTTGGAAAATGTTGGAAACTTAACTGTGATTGCAATGTTGTTTTGGATGGAGACCCCGGGAAATCAGTGCTGCGCTCGACTTGGGCCCTGACGCCTTTGGGACGCCCTTGGTTCAAGAGTTCACCACCTGTCCAAAGCTCGGCTTTAGAACGTATCTCGGCGAACAAATCCAAATATCTGGGCAATGCCACTGGCTAAAAAAGAGGAAACCGATTACCCGATCCTCCTGTCTAAGGATGCACAATGTCAAGGTCCCCGCCATCATCCACCAGGACAAAGCTGTTGAAGTCCGGTGGTGCCCAAACCAATTTGAAGGCAATGCGCGACCTGGCAAGGCCAGGTGGTCGCTTGGTCCAGCAGTTCATGAACAAACCAATATCATTTTGGAGCATAGAGTGCGCCTCATCAAGCAAACACATCTTACCTTCCCTGGTCTAAAATAGTTTGCCTTGTGGTATCGTCTCAGCCTTTCAATACTATAGCATGATTCCTATCAAATCTAATGTACATGCCTCTCTCTCTCTCTCTTTCTGTCTCCCTCTCTCCCCTCTCCGAACGGAGTGGCACCCCTCTCCATACTAGGTTGAATCCCAATCCGTGTTGTGGGACCAAATATCTATCTCATCTCCACAATGTCTTGTATGTCGCCTGCTTTGTCCAAAGGACTTGATGGGCGCAGCTCATCAAATGAGAGGTGCCACCGTCCTTAAACTCCGAACTCCCGGCTCCAAGAATGCGCCTAAATTGCACGTGAGCCACGTCCTTGCAAAGAAGCGAGTTAAGGACAAACGGTCCTTATAAAGGCCTTGTCCGTTGCAGGAACGCTCAAAAAGAAGTCAATCAGCAAGCACTGCCTGAGGTGGATCCAGGTGGCAGCCATTCGTGCAGGTGCCTGGGCGAAGCACAACTTGGCAAGGCGGCCTGGTCGCCCCAACAGTTCGCCTCAACAATCGGCATTCTCGGCATTCTCTGCACAAAAGTGCAAGTTCCACAGAATATTTATGATCTCGGTATGATTTTATACAAATTATATGATTCCAGAAGATTTGATAATTCGAGTTCAGAGATTCCACCCCGCAGGACCTTCCTGGCCGATCTATGAGCCCCGGCTCCAAGAACCTCCGGGCCCTAACTCTGGCAAGCTAGCAATCTCAATACCCGGACCTGCCAAGATTGTTCAACATTGCGCTCTGAGCTGTTAATTTCAGGCATCAAATGCATTGAAAATCAGGGAGCACCAACAAGTCCTGACCTGACCTTCACAACTAGAGAGAGAGGAGAGAGAGGAGAGAGAGAGGAGAAAAAATACAATTTCCTGGCCGCTCGCCTAATCGATTTCCCATCGCAATTCCGCGGATCTCCCCGCCGTGGAGGTTGTGGGCGACCTTGTTGTGAATTGCCGTGCTATGTTGCTTCGGACATGTGGGTGTGCGACGCCTACAACTGCACTCTTCCAAACAGTCTAATTGCAGGAAACTTGAAATCTCTTTCGCAGGGTGCTTTGTTATGCCAACATGAGTGATGAGCACCGTTAAGCAACCCACATCCCCCAGCATGGGCGTCAAATCACAATGGTTGTCATCATTGAAGGAGTGTCCTGGCACACTGCGAAATGTCAAACTTCTCAAGTTCAAATTTGGTTATTGACTGGTCGCGCGCAGAAATCCAAAACATGTTGTAGAACGCCCTTCTTCAATGTTGAATTATACGCTCCCCATGATAGCGTGATTGGAATTGCATTGGCCTGACCCTGGACAACATCAATCGCGTTCGAAGCTCTGAAATGCGCTGGTGCGGCCAGTGTATCCCTGTCCAGGTTGGCTGTGTGGCAAGTCCTGGTGCGTTGGCACGTCTAATCAAGTCAAATCACTGCCGACAACAAAATGTGTTTTTTGGTCTTTTGTTACCGATGTGCTGCGTGGAAGCGACCACAACTTGATGAATGCAAAAAGGCAGGGTGCTGACTGGGGGAAGAACTGCCTGGGCCCAAGACAAACAAAATGTTGAGTTGAACCCTTCGTTCAAAAACCATTTGCAGTCCTCGAACTACAAACGACAGTGCTTGATTCAATTGATTTTGTTGGCAATACGACTCAATTCAATTGTATATGTTAGTATGGGGCTGCCGTTGCAGCAAACCCTGCAAAAAACATGGACACTGTGAACCGTCACATGTTTCCATCATGGTCCGCTCCCAAAACAGTGTCCCATATCAGTGTGGGCTCCTTCAAACCTCCAGCCCAAAGGATTGTCCGCCTCACCTGGTCAAAATGCTGCGCTGAACAAATTTCCGAATGCACAATGGAAAAAAACATGATTTTTCAATTTTGAAAATGGACATCGCCTCTTCCCAATCTTTGCTGAGATCTTCCACGCTCAAGCTTTTCACACGCGCCTTCAGTTGGCTGGGTCAATACTCCAACTTGACACTCCAGAATCACGACGCATCAGCTGGATGCGCAGTCACTGCCTGAATGTTTCGAAGCCGTTCCACAGAGGTGCCCGGATACTCAGGATCCACCTGCAATATCTGACAGCTGTCAGAATGTGGAAAATCCACACAACGGCGGCAGATGCTGAAAATCACATGGTCAGCAAGGCCTCTGCGAAAACAAACCGGGAAAGTTGAGCGTGCCAAATTGTCAAAAACAGTGATTTCAAATTGCCTCCATTGTGAAAGCCGAATGACGCTTGCGGTTGCTTTTTGGTTCGAGCCAAACACCCCCAATCAAACATGTTGGTTGCATTGGCCACACCTATAGAATGTTTCTTCTTTAAATTTCTTCAAGCTGTGGTGGAGGGACGTACATCGAACTCCAAAACCAAAGCCCAAAGCACGCTTCAAAGGCTTCTTTTTTGCGCCAGCCCGTCTCATCTGAGGCCAAAGAACCTTGGCGCACATACGGTCGACCCCACAACGAACATGTCAGCTGCTGGCGCCAATCCCCCCAACCCCAGTACCAAGTTGAAACACTGTTTTAACCTGCAGAGCCAGCAAGGCCACTAACTCTCAAAAGTCTCCACATTTCCCGTTAAAGCTGGGCGTCCAAGCAGTGGCTATGGGAAGTTGGCTCCTGAGTTGGAGTGGCTATGGGAAGGGCCCAGCACCAGGAACTGCACTTGCAGCTGCCAAGCTTGCACGCCAGAAGCGCGCAACAATAAAGCAAACGAAAGACTGCGCGTGGAAAGCCCTTTTGAGCTAAACAGGCCTGCGACGTTGATGCTAAGACATGTTCCCCCCGATTGCGCAAACGCTGTACAAACAACAAACATGTCAAGCTGCATCATTGGCTTCCCCGGCAACGACATTCAGCATCAGTGTCAGTTGGCAGCTGGTGTGTTCATAGGACAAAGTCGCAGAAGAGACATGATTCATCCGCTTCTGCTTGAAGTCTCCACCGCGCGTGTTGGACTTCTTCCAAAGGTGAACAAGCTGAGGACGGGATAGTTCAATCTCGGTCTTCCCAGGCTGGCGCCGGCTGTTCCACGATTCAACGCGCCGGGCAATGGTGTAGTCGACAGCGTCAACTACAATGGCCCTGCGCGAGTCCACGGCCGGCTCCGCGCAGCCCTCTTTCTCCTCCTCGTCTTCATTCTGCTCCGCCTCTGGCATGCTCTGCAAGTCGCAGACACACAAAATCACGGCACGTTTGCAAGCAACTTTGCGTGACAGTGGCGGGACCTACACTCTCAGACGGTCATTATTCTGAAGGAACATCTTACAAACAGAAAGTTCTCGCGACCTGGCAAAAAGTCACCTCACTTTGGCATGCTGACGAGAAAGTCAGCTGGGCTTGCCAGCAACTGGCCGTCAATAGGCTGAACGGAAAGAACAACCTCCTGTGACTCCTATGCGCCAAACAAAAGAAACCTATGGCTGCAGTGGCAAGAACAGGCGTGCGGCCTCGTCATCATCATCGTCTGTAGATGAAGAAAGTGCGGTCACCATCTCGCCCAGCGACTTGCGCACCTGACACTGCCAACTGCTGTGAGACACATTCCGCTCAAGCCTAAACATGGATAAGAGGGCTCTGCAGTTGAAGCTCAGCATGGGTCAGATTAAGTCTGGTGCTAGGACCTGCTACCTGCTAGGACTCACGCTCTTGGGTGTTCAGGTGGGCTTCGCAGTTTTCCCTTGCATTGATCTGCCTTCCTTGCACTGCAGGTGCCCCTCAAACAAGACCCAGCTCTGATTTTTTCATTAGTTGGGCCCAGCCTGGTCCAGCAACTCGGGCTCCACATTGTTGAGCAGAATGGGCACTTGTCCCAGTGGTAGCTGGTAGTCATTCTCCTTCTTCAAAGACAGCGCGTCCCGGATCTTCTTCTTCAGGGTTGACTGAAACAGCTCCCACATCTTCCTGGACATCTTGTCCACCATCTTTCCTTCAGCACAAATTACCTTGGCTGTTTTGAGAAGGTCCACGCTTGCCTTCTTGATGGTGCTCCTCTTGGACTTGAGCTCTTTTCTGACTGCTTCAAAAGACTTCTCAGCCGTATCGGCTGCAAGCTCGCTCTTCTTCATGTCCTTTTGTCTCTTCTTCATCAATGGCCTTGCCACTCGATTCACCCGCATGCGAAGGCCGGATGCACCGACAACCATAGCTGAGAAGTCAACAGTGCATACACCACAACCAGCACTGAGCCAATAAGCGCTTCGGGGAGCGTTTTGGTCAATCCTTACAATGACTCAAACGACATCTGTCACATCTGTTCTGGAGGTCTCCTGAGATACAAGCATTCCATGGACCACTTGATCCCTGCCCGCGGTCCTTCTGTAGCCATCCAGGCTGTGACCATGCAACTGAACGGGAAAATCACTTCAATAAACTTCAATGCGTATGTGTTGGGGTAGTTGGATCGCACCATGCCTGTGGGAAATCATGTAAATTATATCATATCTTCCAGGAACCAAAGTAACGGAAGATCATGACATCCTTCGTTTTGCAACAACTTGCAATAACTTGGAATCGGATAGAAACTTCAGACATGCAGCATGTCAATCTCGAGGCTTCCGTGATGCTGAGAGCAGCCAAGGCTAAGGTCAGATTCAGCCAAGAAAGCTATGACCATGCCTTTCCCACACTTGGAATAAGCTGCCAAGATCTACGAAGATTGGCAGCGATGCTTGGCGCAACTGCGACCCAAGTTTTGGTTTACAATGGTTTACCTGGCTCATCCTTGCAGTTCCTTGACCTTCCTTAACTGAACCCACTCGCTGCTTCTGTGACCAACAGTCAATGTGACCTGTGAGAAGTTGCCGTTCAGTGGCACAACCGTTCCAGAGCTTCGTCGAAGCCATTGAAGAATCAAATGGTCAAATAAATTGATTGTTTGCCGCTCTATGGAGCCGCTCTATGGATGCGGGGTTGTGTGCTTAGAGCTCCCTTTTCTGATCTCCCTCCTGCTTTGGCAGGCAAAACCCGCTCAATAAATGCCTTGTTCGAACACCGGCTCATTCCGCTGGATTCGATCGTAGCTCAGAATGGAGAGGTCAATGGTTCTGTACCTAGGTCGAAAGTGTGATGTGTCATCTGTGCAAACACTTTGTGTAGGCTTGAAGAAAAGGTCTTCTTTGATAATTCTTGCTATCCCTGCTTGGATTTCACTTGCGGAGCTTGACAATGAAAGTGAGACAAAGTTTCAAGAACCTATATATATATATTATATATATATATATTGAAGACATATCGAACATCCATCCAAGCTACCTTGCGTTCACTTCAGCAAGCAAATAGTACAGAAAGAAAGGAAGAAGGAAAGGTCTAAAGAACAAAATAAAAGACAAATAAAGGAGAAAACAAATGTACTAAGAACCTGTTTATCTTGAATTCTACACTTTTACTAACTCTCGATTGAACCCAAGAATTGCTCTCTCGGCCCAAGACCCACCGAAGGAGATCAGCTCTGCAACAGCGCGGCCAACGCCCGGCGCCTGTGGGGTCAATGCGGCTATGGCTGTTGGATTGCAATCAACGTTGCGTGGGATTACTCTGCGTGAAGGAAACCCTACATAAGAGTAGATGGCCCATATCTCACAGTATTACATATTGATTGCTACTGGGATACGGCTTCCTTTCCCGAGTTTGAACCGTATCATTCGGCCCCCTTGTGATTTGACTGCGTTTGGGGGACAGTGTAAGGAGTGCAACACACCAGCAACAATGATGATGTTGTTGTTGTTGTTGTTGTTGTTCTACCCTTGCTTGACTGGACTGTCATCAGCACTGGGCAAAGAGCCTTTCGCATCTGCAAAGAAAACCCAATTGAGTGTCCTCAACTTCCCTTGCACAAGCTGAGGGACATCAATTGTATGGGAAGAATTTAATGATATTGAATGTGATGGTTTCCTTTGCAACATGTTGTAACTGCTAAGAGGCTGGTAGTAGCAAGGGCATTACTACCAGTAGCAAGAAGCTACTAGTAGCTTTTCTTTGAGAGTTGCCCAATCGCCGCCTGCTGAAGGCCGTGGCCACTGAAGCCACAAGCGATCAAAAGATTGGACACATCTGGATGCCACCTGGGCCCAGTGCCCGGAGCTTCGAACAAGCATCTGCTAAAACCGCTGGGTAACGAAGAGAGTATGAAAAACAAAGTCAAATCATCATAAGGTTTAATTGTTGAAACGCTTTTCCAGGTTTCCCACAACCACTTTTTGAAAAGTTGTTCATCGCTTGAGACCCTTGAGACCCTTGAGACATCGAAGAGATTCAGACCATTTCATTGAGAAATCCCCTTCGGTTCCGTCTACTGGATCGCCACTTCCGTCTTCTCTTGTAAATACTGAAACTTCTTGCTACTAGCTTCTTGTTACTAGTAGCAATGGCCTCCAACCTAATAGCGATGGCCTCCACCTAGTAGCTTCTTGCTGCTAGTAGCACTGGGGGGAATGATGCCAAAGATTGTCAAAATCCTAGTCCTATGCCTTCATAAGGATGTCCAACCTGGCAAATCTTCAGGTTCCCGACCCCACCACACCATTTTGGTCCAGTGTGTTGTACTCGTAGAGCCCGGCCCAAGAGGATTCCAGCTTAATGGCCTCAGGGAAGTGCGTGAAGAAATGTTTGGCCCAAATACACTTAGCAGGTCTGCCTTCTGTCAATGTTCAAGTGTTCCTGCCTCTTCTTAAACAACAACTGTATATTGACCTTTCATTCTGGCAAGCTCCATCTGCAGCAAGAAGCCACGCCAACATGAACGATCATGAAGGTATAAATCAAGTGTGGCTCATTGTATCGGTTCATTCGTTTTCATGTCTGGATGATCCCACCCCATCGGTGGTGCTTTAAGCGCCTCCAGAGCCGGAGCTCGCTCCGCCAAAGCTGGCCAAATCACCTCCTGGCACATCAGACTGAACATGTCCTGAGTATGAATGCTCATCAACCTTCAAAGGTTGTTTTTTGAGATCAAATTTGAGAGATCACTTATGTATTATGTGAACTCATGTGCGAAGATCAGCTCCCATCGATGAGTTCCAAAAGCTGTTCATCCTCGAAGAGTTCGTAATCCACGTGGTCGACTGCATCGGCATCGCAGTCGTGGTCGTCCTTCAAGCAGCCAACCCAAGCGGCCAGCCGCCGTGGTCCAAGTGCTTCTCACCCGACCCGACGCGTCTCAAACCCGAGATCCGTTGCGTCCCGATGTTTCTAATAGCTTCTTGTTACTACTAGTAAGGCACTTGTTACTAGAAGCGATGCACTTGTTCCTGGTAGCTTATTGTTTATGCGCAACCCTAGGACATAGGACCTAGATGGACCTAGGACCTAGCTGCCCTTTTTCGCCGGTCACCCAGGCCACAGGCATTGCAGCACCACCTCTACAAGTGAACCAAACGCAAGCGGCCTCTGGCTTGGGGCTCACACCGCACCTTCGCACACGTTCGTCTGTGAATTAGTAAGAATGCTCCTAGTAGCGATGCCAGGAGCCCCTAGTAGCGTTCTTGCTCCTAGTAGTAAGGCCAGGAGCCCCGAGTAGCTTCTTGCTACTCATTATCTTGAAAGGCAGCTGCAATCTGTTCATTGTGTTTCCTTGTTGCTTGACCGACATGCCGCCTGTGTCAGGTTGCTGATCACTGCATCCAATCTAAATCTTCAAATATCTTGAACAGTCATCTTGCAGAAAAGGCACAGAAAGCGGGCACAAGAGCCTTCTGAACCTCAAGCGACTCACACTATCGCACACCATAGCCAGTGCGAGGTTTCCTTTCGCATTGTTTTGTGAGCAAAGCATGGACAGCCTGGCTGAGACCACCATTCCAGTTCGTGGTTTCATCAGCCACTAGCCACTGGCGACTCTGCCTGACTGAGCCACTCTCAGCTGCTGACGAAAATACACACCACTCGCATCAATGGTGAGCGGGGTGTTGTCTGGTGGCCGAGGCGTCCCGTCACTGGTCACCTCCACGCATTCATGTTGCAGCACGGCATGGATGCATGTGTTGAGTTTGTCAACAATGGTTTGGATGCCATGCTGCAATTCTGCCAATGCTAGTCGCACCAGCTTGGCCAGGGTATACCCGACATCCGCCCGTATAGGTCCGTGTCTTCGTTTCACACACATGCGCCCACAGCCTCTTGGCCCACATGGAAGAGAAACATGCACCGCCTGACAGGCGAAACCCTGATGGCGGGTAGAACCCCTATGGATCCATGATGAGCCATGTATCCGTAGAGAACGGTTCAATGGCTCAGAAGGTTCCCTACATTCATATAAAGTTTGAGGGTCACTGACTACATACAGAGGCATATCACATGCTTCTGATCTTCTCGCATCATTCATCATCGCACAGGTGGAAGCATGATGAGCATTTGTTGGAAGCTGTCCGCCGAAAGAAGGCAGGTGGAAAAGCACCGATTGAGATATGTTTGGTGGTTGGAAAAGCTCCTCAAAAACGAGCAAGCTAATTGGCCTCCAAAACAGTCGGAAAGAAAGAAGGCTCAAGCAAAAATGCGGAAAGCAATTTCTAGTGTTGCACTGCTTCACTGGCCCTCTCAGTATGCACCGCACTTGCGTGGCACCACTGGTAGTGGGGTCACATCGCCGCACATCTGCACCCTGATCGATGAGAGTGTCAAGCACGTCGACTGCACTCAAATACGTAACAAGGGCATTACTACTAGTAGCAAGGACGCTGCAAATAGCACTACTAGTAAATGCACTTGTTCCTAGTAGCGATGAACTTGTTACTAGTAGCAAACAATAAATATGTTTAAATACCATATGCACCCTTATGCCATGTGTGTTAGTAAGAAAATATCGCGGCATATCGCGGCTTCAAGTTTCATGGAAATCACGGAATATATAAAGATCTTCAGGAAACTACCTTCCACTACAAGCTACAAGCAACTGAGCTGGCAGCACATGTCCGCCAAAGGCGCCTCCGTGGCTCAGCTGCTCGAACCAAACTTCAGGGGAGATACCTTCGAAACTTTCTTTAAGATAGACATGGACGGCATTGCCCCAAATGCGAAAAAACAGGTGTATGTTTGATTACAGCATCAATTATATAGTTTCAGGTCTATTCTATTCTATCTTCCTTATACAATCCCACAATGACCATCCATGTTCCAAATTCTTGTCACACGACTTTCAACTCTCCCTGCCACAACAAGCGCGAACAATGTTGAATAAGCCATCCAAGGCAACAGCCACAGTCACCACCAACAGTTTATCTGGGGGGCAGCATCTAATTTTTCCGTTAGTACTCATCCATTTTAGTCTGTAGACTCCAACTGAAGCTATCTCAAAGCGCTTCCCCGCGCCTGCAGCGTTTACGACCGTTGCCACAGAGACTCTGGTGCCATCGCCGAGAGTAAGGGCCTCGATATGGTTCTTGGACCTTGGAGCTTTGTTCCAAAGAACCGCACCAATTGTCGGAACAGGTAGGACCTTGACATGCCGGACCGGACATGTGACATGGTAGGACCAATATGTATTTTTCAGTATATCATGCTAAGGTCCTCGGTCCTCAGTGTAACGCATGGCATCGAGAGCAACCAAACCTCTGTTGCTTTTTCGGAGTTTTGAAGTCAAAGACCCAACGCACGACACGTGAAGGACATCGATCTGGGAGCTCCAAACACCTGAATGCCCGTCACGGACTGCTCGATAAACTCAACACCTCTGGCCATGGCAGCTTTACGCATGGCCTGCCGCATGCTGCGCGTTGGAAGGTGAAGAAGACTGTATGAGTTGCTAAGATATGCTTGAATTGCAGGATGGATACAAATTGTGGAACCAATCTGCTGGTTTCAGATCAACCTGCCGACAACCTATAGTTCAAACTGACTTGACAACTGAAAGGAAACATACATCTCCCTGCGGCCTGAAGCAATGCCCAGGGGTCGAAATAGCCCTCATTGCCTCTCGCTACAAATGTGAAACTTCCCAACAAGGCTTATAATATTTTTAAAAATAATAACACAATCTGCAAAGCATCCAGAACATGTAGATTCCTCAGCTTCACGCGTTCACCAAAGGAGCCCAGTGCAACTCCATCTGTACAGAGCCAAGGGAACCTGATTGACCAACAAAGCTATGACAAAGCTGTGCTCACAACTGACCAGGCATATTCAACGATTCACAGCAAGAGCTGTGCTATATCCCTCCAGGCAAGCCTCGTGCGCAGCTCTTTGGGATCCATCAGCCGGATCCAAGACGCACCACAACCCTGCTGCACCGCATGGTTTTCTCTCAATGCCGCCTCGAAGTCAGCAAAGCTCGATTCAAATGACAAGGTGCCAGGTACCTGGCGCCCGCACCTCTCCTTCAGGAGTGGCCAGCAGGAGGTAGCCATTCTCCTTTGACAACTGAGAAGCCCACGTTGTATTGGTTTATCATATTTTTTCATTCCTCCGGCCGACATCTGCAGTTTCGTCGCACTAAATGCTTCCCATCTCGAATCCATACAAATTGAAAAACGTGCCTTAAACTGCACATCCGCATCTACATCAATTCCTGGCGGAACTGTCACGACTTTGCGACCTCGAAACTTATCACAAAGTATTGCGCCCATCGGATACGCTGGATACGTGCTACTATCAGCTCCGCAACACGACAACTGGGATAGACCGAATACTGGAAAAAGTTAATATATTAATCTATGTTAATACTATTCGTTGTGTAATTGACGTGTGACGAAGTGCCAGCGCTGGAGTGGGAATTCCACTCTGGGCGGTAGCAAAAAGTTGACCCTTATTTGGCCGAATTCACAGCACTTTGTTACGTGTAAACAATGCACTCGTACGTCTCGTATCTCTCCCGCAAGTAACATCATCCAATTAGGGTCTTTAGAGTATTCCCAAGACTAGTCTATGAAAAACTATCACCATGCGAATGATGAAGTTGGAAAGTCCTTACAAGTTCCTCTTTCCCCGTCCCAAGTCCTTCGCAAAGGTCATGCAGTTTGTGTTTCAGGAAGTCTACGCCATAGAGCGACAGCTCCACATTCACCGGCAGAGAGAACTGACCAATGGCTTGGTTTCAAGGTAGATCGTGAATGAAGTAGGATTCGAGTGACAGCTTTGGCAGGTCAAGCTTGAAACAAGGAGATGTGATGGCCGAAGGGTTTTCTTTTTCATCCTTTTCTTCTGTTCTTTCTTCATTCAGACTCTTTCCCGACCTGCTGCCGGATGCCACCCGCCGAGCGGGGTGCGGAGGCGCGGGAATATGAAGCATCTGACTCAAAGACTGCGACCTGAGGCGTGGCTTGACCTTCCAAGTGGGGAGCAAAAGCCTTAGGGAGCAAACACCATCAAATACCTTGAAAATTAGATGAAGATCTGCACTAAGTTCAATTGTATACAACAAAAACCTAATGACATATTCTTTGAATTTCTTCGAGGGGTGGCAACGGCATTGAAGCCAATCAACATGCAACACTGATAGTCATGAGTCATCAGCGCAATAACCTTCTTTGAGATAAACTATACAACACTGCAAATGTCTATGGACATCTATAGATGCTTCTCGCGTGTGTTTACTAAGTTTGTGTTGTATAATACACTTGAGGATTAGCAAGCTAAGAAAGCAGCAGAATGGATTGGAAGATGCATAATCCTACGGAAGTGGGTGACCGAAATCGCCCTTGAGATTTAGACCTTTTTCCCAGCACCTGCAAGCGATGCCCAGCTATGGAAAGGTGAGGTTCAATGGACAGGGACGCAACACAAATGTGTGATGCGTTGCAAAAAGATAGCGCTTGACATCGCTTGACGATATACACACTCAAATGGATGAGAAAGCATTCGTCAAGTCCTCCCCAACTGTCCCGGAATGTTCTGCCTCGCCAAAAACAACTCGCGAGCATTGTCTTCTGTTTCCAGGCTGCCAGCCAGACCGGGCCACATGCCTCTATCATCCTCAATCGATTACAGTATGTAGTATGTAGTATGTAATTTCAAAAAAGCAAGAAGAGAAAGAGATGAAGAAAGGTAAGGCGCCGTTTAAAGGGCCTTACTTTCCTTTCATCTCTTTTTCTTTCGCAACTTCTTGAACTATCTTCTCTTAATCTGACGAAGCTCACAGAGTGCTTTGTCCATTCTCTGTCCATTCTCTGCTGTCGTCCCATTGGGCTTCCTGTTGGGTTTCCCCTTGGCAGCGCCTGCTGCGGCCAGATGAAGTGCCACAGATGCTCCAATCACACCGCCTCCCACGATGGCAACATCGCATTGCCTGGTCGCCGACAGCTCGCAAGTTATTGGATGCCACATTTGACAGAGTTATATAATCCGTTCCATATCATCAAACATCATCAAAGCGATCAGTTCTATCATCCAAATGGACATGAGTTCTGTCCGAAATTCCCTACATCTGGGAGCGGTCATTAGGACAGGGCATCGGGTTTGGGTTTTCCTCATCGGTGTCCAATGTTTGATGAATATAAATGACTATAATATCACTATATATATATATATATCACTAACATACCTTGTCGGCTTCCTCATCGGTTTTCAATGTACTGTATGCTCAATGTAAAACCTACCGACAAACAGCTTTTGGTTCCGATGTTTTTGGATGGATCTCACATGCTGGTCACCAATCAGGAGGTAAATCCATCCTTCCTGCCTGCAGCTTGAGAGGGGCTTGGCTTTGGCCTCAAGGATGGTTTAACATGGTTTAACCGGTGCCACCTTGTAAAGACTACACTCTCGCAAACCGCAAACGACAAGCAATGCACTCAGCACAGATTGCAAGGCTTGTCATTGTCTAAAGCTGGTTGCATGTCCAGCCACACGAAAAGACATACACTCGGCCCCCGACTGGAAGCTGACATCTTGCAAGGGCTGTAAGCTTCTTGAACCTCTCTCAGGCGATGAGCTTGCTTTTGGGTCTCCCTTGCATCATAGTTACTCTGCTTTAGCCTAGTAATGCCTAGCAGCTTCTTGTTCCTAGTAGTAAGAATGCTCCTAGTAGCGATGCCAGGAGCCCCTAGTAGCGTCCTTGCTCCTAGTAGTACGGCCAGGAGCCCGTAGTAGCTTCTTTTGTTACTCTGGTTCCTCAGTCCGGTCCTGATGATTTTCTTGCGCGGCACAGCGGCATGGGGCATCCACTGAATGGACTTGTCTGTCAGACGAAAGTACCAATTCAAAGGCCTCTGGTCACCACTCGGGCATGGCAGGTTCAGCCGCAGTTGGGAGATGACACCGCACTTGGCAGCTTGGTGGTACTCGACAACAATGACGTCTCGGTCATGAGATCCTTCAGGTGTGCCCTTGTGGATGCTGTTGGTGTCAAAGAGGAAGCCAGTTCCCCTCTTCCCGGCCAAGCGAACTGTGTGGAACTCTTTCTGCACGTAAACCTCCTCATAACGAGATTGCTCGAACTCCTCATGCCAGTAGAAAGATAAGCGATGCGATCCCAATGCCACTTGGGTTGGATGCCCTTCCAGTGGATCCACGTCATTCAAACGAATCAGCAGTTTCAGTCTGTGCCCAGTCCGATCGTGGTGCCAGTGCGCAGCCACAAAATCTTTTGTCGTGAACTTGGAGGGCAAATGCACCACCTTGTAGCCGTGCAGCATAGCATGACCACCAAAGTAGGCAGCCACCGCTGCACTGAGCGTCGAGTTGTGAAGCCAATGCTCGAGTTCGGGCAGCTTCGGCCGTGCGGCAGCCAGCATGTTGCCTTCTTGCTGTGCGCGGACTTCGCCGAGGGCTTGCAAGGCTTGCTCCTGGATACTTCGGGGCAAGCCCAGATCTTCCAGCTCCACCGCTCCATACGCTTCCAGTGCCGAAAACAAACGTGCGGCACCTGGCTCCAGCGGGTGCAACTTCCTTCGGTTCATCAAATCAAAGTCCAAATCAAAGAGCAAACGTCCCAGTGGTGAGAGAAATCCACGGCGTAATGCTCCGACCTCTGCTGAGTTCTTCAGCTCGAAGCCAACAGCACGCCAAGTGGCGCTGGCCGCAGATACATTGAATGCCTCGCGCTGTTGGCCAGCAAGTGCTAAGTAAGCCTTCATTGGCTCCTTGAAAACAAAGGCATCCAGGGAGTCCAGGAATGGATTGGGAGCATCATTTGCTCCACAAATGCCTTCTTCGTGGAGTACACTGCAATGAAAAGTGGGCAGTGCCTCACTTTCACCATTTGTCGGGTCCTGGCAGAACAAGCGCTGCTCTGCCTGCAAGGGCCACGTAAAATTTGCCGGAAACACCACAGGAGGCTGCTCCTCAGGTAAAAAGTTTGTACATCTCACTCCTACTGCTCCAAACTCGGATTCCAAACAGCTGCCATTGAAGCTCAGTTCAATTTGGCAGTTCAGCAGGTCCTTCTCGGTACCTTTGCACTGAGCGTTTCGGATGCCCGAGATATTCTCTTGGGGTCCATTGGGCATTCGCATTATACTCAGCCCTTTACGCAATCCCAGTTGCCGGCAAACCACCTCTGCTGCCGCTGTATCCCACTCATTGTTGCCACAAATCCAACCCCACTTGCCGAGATGGAAGACCTCCACACGGCCGGCATCGGTATTCCCTCCTGCCAAGCGCACATCGCCATCGGACACTGCGGAAACAGTGGCCAACAATCCCGCTTTCCACATGGCACGCAGAAAGGCTTCTTTTCAGGAAAAGTATATTACAACATATTCCAACCTTTTTCTAAATACATATATATATATATACAAACAATATCACAAACTGTTTCCAATTTCCAACTCTTGAGTCTAACTGTAACTTGAGTTCTTCACAATGGTTTCAATCCTAGGCGCCGTCATGTAAAGCTTGCAAGCCCAGATTCCCTGCCGGAAGACCTCTGTGAATACATGATAATGCAGGGATTTGATGGCTTCAGAACTCCTTGCAAAGGTGTGTGGAAGCAAACACATCAATTCTGGAGCCAGTATGCAGTTCCTCTCACAAACATGCGGCACCTGAAAACCATTGAAAACCGCATGAAAATGCTGGGCGTCTGTCAGATGTTTTGTCGCCTTCACATCGTCTCGCTTCACCAAGTGCCCAGCATGCTGCAGGTATCTAGCCAAGTGGTCAAGGCCTAGTTCAAAATGCGAGAACGATGTGAACATTCAACGGACAAATGAACTAAAAAGTACTGTAAAGCATTCCATAGCGTTCCTGAGATATGATTGTCAACCTGCTGTAGCTGAGGGTCTTGCGTTGGTCACTAATGTATGCGACTCCAATGTCTATCCGAAATGATTTGTGCTGCTTGAAAGTTGACTGGATCAATAAGGATCTCTGACAGTGACATGACTCCCATGCACAAAGGAACCGTAATTACACACTGACAGGTCAGGAGGATGCTTCCGGAAGTATACAATATGCAAAACCAATCTGCTTCTGAATGCTTCGAACAATGCTTGAGCCAACGCTTGAATACCTGCATGATGTGGCGCCAGTTCTTCCTATTGAGAGCTGTTGGTTGGCCTTTAACACCAAGCAAAACGTTTTGGCAACAGGTATCATGAAGAAAAGCTCAGGGATTCGGCAACGACTTGGGTGCAAGTTGCCATCATAAAGACAATTGGCCGCCACCGCGGCAACATCTTCCTTCGTGGCCTTCTTTATCCTGCCAAGCACATACGTTTCGCATGCTGAAATCCTCCGAGCTTTTTCTCTCCGCACGGCGAAAAGTCTTGAACACTGGGCTTCTTCTTGCTGGCTCTTGCCTTCGTTCCTGGAAGATCTCGATTTGTGGCGCTCTCTTCGGAGAACCGGAGATCTTCAGCTTCTCTTGGCGAGTCGTCGACTCTGCCAGCCCCCAGCGCCTTGAGATGGATCGAAATAGTTCGAAGTTAAACAACCTGCGGAAAAAGCGGTCCAAAGCCGTGCGTTTCCACAACTTCCATCATGCAATGTGGTGCGAGTCATTCAGCTCCAATGTGCCAAAAGAATCATAGCCTACCCTTTCACCCAATGGGCAGACCCCAATTTTGTCAGACATTGCACAAAGAATATCTTGCTCACACACCCAAAAGTTATGCGCGGACAACAACATTTGTGCATATAAAAGTATATATATATACATTTATATACACAGTGTCCATACATGATTAGTGCTGACATTGAGCTTTTAATGAAAATTGTAATTCAACAGTCTAGCTCACACCTACAGCCTACAGCATCTACAGCATGTGGAGAGCCAATATTTCTGAGCACTTCACCCGAAAACAAACATGTTCGTCAGAAGTCTCAGTGGCAGTCCTTTGGCAAAGGAGTCATAGCCGTGTGGCAAGCAGGGATCGCCATGGCACAGGAGTTGTGCCATCGTAGTGACACGCGTAGTCCGGTTGCGTTTGCCAAACAAATCCCGGCATTGTAAAGAAACAACAGCAAACAGTGACTATGACTATGACTATTCTCAGACTCTTCAGCGAAGAGAATACCACAAGACATCAAGGGCCTATTGCAGGATTCATCAAGCAGGGCTCTCGCTCATGGAGAGCTTCACAGCTGAATTCATCTGAATGAAGTTTCAAGTGGTCCGCATCCAACTTCCAATGGAACTTGCCTTCCAAGCTGCAAGCGAATTTGGATAATGATTTTAGGGCGCACATTTGACCCAAGAAATGACCATGCGTGCACGATCGGAGATAACACATAGTCATAGCCTAGCCTTAGTAACCCCCACTTGAACATCAGCCGCTGTGCACAGCATGTTTCTTGCTTCAAGCTGTTCTGGACAGCTCTAGCTTGCCATTGGCATAGGCCAACTGCAGCCATGGTGAAACGAGCTCTAATTACATCTGCAAAAGGTTCTCACTCATCCCCATAACAGCCTCAAGGCATCTCAAGGCGTCATCCCACATGCAGTCCCACATCCCCAGACTGTGAAGCTGTAAAGGTTGTCACCGTGCAAGTTCGTTTTGTCAATCTCTATTTTCTTCAGTCAACCCTGAAAACTTTCACAGAGCATTGACTAATACAGTTTGAACGTTTCAAGTAAGCTGCTTGTTGACTGAAACCTGAGTCTACTTTGTAGGTGTTAGGTGCGCAAACTCGAATGTGTGGGTCCTTTGGCCAAGTCACCATGCCCGTTAGCGCTGCGGTTGAGGTCACCAAGAGCGCTACGCGAGAGGAGACAAAGCGCTGCATTTGCTTCACCAAGAGATCGATCGCATCTTCCAGGAGGTCGTCCTGGCGTCGGTCTGAAAACATCGGCAATCCAGCGCCGTTCTCATGTTGTTTTCCCGCAAAAAAAACTGCTTCTACTAGGCAAAAGGGACTGCAACACAATAATGCAGCAAGTGAGTTTCTAGATATTTCTAGAGTCAGGGTGACACAAACGGGGAGCAGACAACAATAGAAACAAAGTTCATCTGTCAAAGATGCAAGTCATCAATTGCAAAGCAGGATTGGATGACAACGAGGACACTTGAAAAGGAATTTATACTGGTTACTGATGAGATAGGATTTTACGGACCATGTTTTGGAATACACCAGGACACATGAGATAGGACTAGGTCGTCATCAAGAATCCTGGTACACATGAGATGGAAAAGGGTGTGTTCACTGATTTGTGCTTTTTCGGCCTATCCCACGTGTCGCATTGCCAAGAATGCAGTGAAAAATTGGGGAAACTAAGCTGGGTTATTTTTCTCACATGGACTCAAACAATGCCAAGTAAGCCTTCCAACTCTCCATATCAAATGCTGCTTGTAACCAAAAACGCAGTCAATCCTGTTTGAAACTCCAGTGCTTTCAAGCGTTTTGTCAACTGACTATGCTGCAGGATGTCATGTAACCACCTCATTCAGATCCTGTCTCATGTGGCTAGGCAACCTCCAGCGGGCTGAATGTAAAGATCCCAGTCAACTCCAATGTAAACTTGTTTTGGGGCCCACAAGTGGCCCCAGACCACGTGAGATAGGAAAGTGTATGGACACTTTTTTGCTATGTTTTGGGCACATGAGATGTGCCAACCTCAACCGGTGCATAGGTTTCACCAATCCCATCTCATTAGCATCTAGTATAGGTCGAACAGCAGGGAGGCGTCGTGTGACGACTATGACCATGAAGACCCAATCTCTGCACTTCAAAATGCAGCTGCTACTACTGCTTTGGTGCTTGCACATTCAACCGTTTCCACGCGTGAGTTGTTCAGTATATTATACTATACCAGGGCTCTTAGACAAAGCAAAGCAATACCGAAACCGAACCTGTATTTTAATTAGCTGAAGCTCTTGGACAAGTCCTCCAAGAAGCACCACCTAGTTTCAGGCAGGTCGAATCTCCTGATCAATGGCCGAATTGAAATACATCTGCCGTGTTTCATCTTTCCAACTCGGCACCTCAATAATGTCAGGCTCCTGGCAAGGTTTCACTGTCCGGCGACTTGAAGCCTCTTTCTTGCAAACGAAACAACACAGAACTGAATCTGGAGGTCATACATCTTGCATGTCATGGCACGTGCCCTCAACTTGCATGGATTGATACCAGTGCGTAGTCAAGGTAAGGTTGTGGAAGACATCAAGTCTTCATGCAAAGGAGCGGGCAACGAACAATGCTTCCCTCAAAACCGGTCAAAACCACTTGATGGTGGGGGAAGACACACGGTACCCATGGCAAGATGGGCATCCCCATGGTGAGCCTGAGCAGAATGCTGGGGATCACAGGGCACAACCCAATACCAGTAGGATGAAAGGAAACAAAAGTCGCTTCGGAAAGTGGAAGGAGAAAATGGAAAGGAGAAAGGGAGACAATAGGAAAGAGTAGATAAAATTGGCAAAGAAAAGCAGAGCAGACTCATCACAGTGCTATGAAAAAGGTAAAGAAAATAAATTGAATTGTAGAGAAGAGAGAGACGAGAAAGAGAGAGGCCCTTCTCAAGAACTTAGCATTATAATGCATTATACTCAGCAAAGGTCCCCATGGATATCTGCTTGGCCGTCATTAACCTGTCTTGGCTACAAAAACAACAAGAACACTGAGCCATGCTAACCTTAACCGCCTTAATCAGAACATGATTGGTATAAATCTGAGGTTTCACAATGATGTTCACTATAGCCTGCCCTTTCGCTTTCCACTATATCCGCCCTAAAAGCTATGCGGCTGCGCCTGGAAGCGGACTTTCCGCTGCTTTGGATCCTTCACTGCGCTCTCTTGCTTTAAAGCTTCGTGGCTGACCAGCGGTCCAGGCCTCGTGAGGTGATTCCGACGACCCCGGTGACGGGGCAGTAATTCAGAGCGTTCAAAGTCAGAGAAAACTTTCAGCAGTTTCCAATTGTCTTCTTTTGCAGTAGCCTGCAGTAGTGACGTCGTCCTTTCTCTGAGGTAAACAGACTAGTAATAAGTGATTGAACTGGCTTCATGTCATCTTCCAATGGAATTGTCTTCCAAATCCCACCCGCCCAGCCCAATGGTGGACAGTGCTAGGCTATTGCAAGAATCCCCAAACACACCGTGCAACCATGACCACATGTCACTGCCAAGAGTCACGGCAAGGTCCATGCCAGTCCATCGCGGGATTGCATCCAATGCCAACGAGGCTGCTTTGACTGCTCGGTGAAAAAGGCTTTTTGGAGTCGGAGTGGTCGATTCACCTGCTCCTGGATGACCAAGCGTGAAGACACGGAACTGGAGGACATAGTGAAGGCTGCCCAGGTCTTGGCAGCATGCAATACTGTATATGTACGGTATACCGTATACCTGTATACCTATTATTATATTGTATGCGTTTAAATGTATTCGTACAGCTCAAAGGTGTCGCTCAAGGTATAGCTGTCCATTGTCCTGCAGGTAAGTATTGTTACGACTATCGCTTCCGGTGCTAACTGCAAGTAGATGGGCAATGTGCACTACTCATAGATCCGAATAGTCGCAAATCAGGGTTGCCTTGGTTTGGGTGATAATTATATGTAATTATCTGATTATCTGATCATATCATTGATCCTCTCCATGTTTGGCGAAATTTGCGCAGTTGATGGCCTGCCATTCATCACATGTCATGATCTACGGTTACCAATATTACCGTGGCCCTGGCGCCTGAGATGTTGAGCAAAATGGGAGTCGGAAGCTCCATGCCGCCAAACCCTTGTTTGGAGCGACCAGTACGTGAAATGGCGATCCTTGGAGCCGAAATGTGGCAAGAATAGAGGAGCTACCGTCCCGTAGGCGGTCGCCGTTTACGCTAGCTTATGCTGCCTGCAAAGGACGGAGGATGCCAATGATCCATGTATATAAGGCAAAAAAAAACATATACGAGGTGATACGAGGTGTAATCCATGTCGGGTACATGACAATGACCTCCTTGGATGATCTTTTCTTACTTCACACGACAGTCTTGCAGTCTTGCGAAAAATGCGTGAGCCTCCTTGACTCCACCGGCTGTTCAGCTCTGAGGTCCTAATGCCCATCAGCCGTGTCTTCAAAAGCAGCCGGTTTGGGGGATTTATGGGGATCCTGGCAGTCTGCCAGGGGAAAACCGCGAAAAAAGCTGGAGCTCTGTCCAAGGAAGGCATGTTTGCTCCAAGTACCGGATGCGTCTCAAGCATTCTCAAGCAACGTGGCACGACATGGTGCCCTTCGAAGTGGTCATCATTTGTATTCTTCAGTTTCATGAAGCTTCCGGACAGATTGCTTCCGAGTGAAAATTTGATTTCCGCGGCGCAGGAGTTGAACCAGCTGGCCGACTTTGCTATCCAAAGCCATTAGCTCCATTGTCATTATTCATTGGGCTCTGTTCATACTCCTGCAAAATCACTGCATTGCGAAAACCTCAAAAGGTACTTGAAGAGCATGAACACCTGCAGCATGAGAAGCACATGTGTTCCAAGGTGGGTTGGAATGGCAAGAGAAGCAAAGAAATGTAATTTATATACAGTATAGCAGTTGTATTTATATACATAATCAACGACAGAACAAACTAGCTTGGTCACAATTGATCCGGTCTACTTAAGAGACATTGTGTGGGAGTTCCTTCCTTGTGATTCCTTATATATGTGGACAAAAGAAATTGGCAGCTTCTCTCGTTCCCAAGCCCTGAGTAATTAAAAAGGAAGAATGCTGCCTTTCAAACCTTCTTGAACTTTGGCGTAGGAAGAGCACCTCTTCTGCAAGGATGCAAACATGCTCTTAAAATGCTCAGCAACAGGTTGCTATTTCCTGTTGTTGTCTTTTTCATTCCGTTCCTTCCGAGTTGCAACAAGCAACCAAAAGGCAAAGGCCAAAGCTAACGAATCTCATCACTTGCAGCGCACCCAGTGGCCTCATGCTGCCTTCAGCTGAGCCTGGTCGCATTCAGCTGTGCTACACGGTGAGTGTCACAATCGGCTTCTGAACTGCTCGGCTTGATGCATCACTTCTTTGAGTAAGGTGATGCATCACTTCCACATCTTGCATGAGGTGATGCAGTTTCCAAGAAAGAAACACTACCACAAAATCAGGCCGGATGCTTTCAATTGGTTTCATGGGTGAAAGAAGGTTTGAAGACAAATGCACAGCGATGCATCACTTCCATAGTTTGGTGAGGCAAACTCATGTGATGCCGGTGCGTTCGACTGCGTCCCAGGTGCCAAGGATCGAATGCCCGAGACTACGCCAGGCAGCTGCAGCACCTGGAGACTAGTAGCTTCTTGCTCCTTAATAGTAATGCCCTTTGTTCCTAGTAGCGATGCCCTTGCTCCTAGTAGCTTCTTGCTCCTTAATAGTAATGCCCTTTGTTCCTAGTAGCGATGCCCTTGCTCCTAGTAGCTTCTTGCTCCTTAATAGTAATGCCCTTTGTTCCTAGTAGCGATGCCCTTGCTCCTAGCAGCTTCTTGCTCCTTAATAGTAATGCCCTTTGTTCCTAGTAGCGATGCCCTTGCTCCTAGTAGCTTCTTGCTCCTTAATAGTAATGCCCTTTGTTCCTAATTAGTAGCGATGCCCTTGCTCCTAGTAGTTTCTTGCTCCTTAATAGTAATGCCCTTTGTTCCTAGAAGCGATGCCCTTGCTCCCAGAAGCTTCTTGCTCCTCAATAGTAATGC